TTCCCACACAGAAATTAGCTTCGGATATTGTTTTTGTCGTTTTCACCCTGGGAAACCTCGTAAACGTCACCCTAAACGTAAAAATCGCTCTAAAAACAGATATATCCTGAAATTCGCCTCAATTTTGAAAATTGGCGCCATTTTCAATCCTAAGGGACGGAACTTCCGGCTCTGCGACTCAAATCACTCCAATAGGTCTAGGGAACATGTGTTCCAAGTGGCACAATTTTAATACGAAATGCCGTTTGTTTTCACGGGCCGCTCCCACTATCCATACAAATCATTTTATTAATCTCTTTCTTAACTGAGTTTCTATCTTATTGCATAAAATCGTCCTCTTACTACTAAATGCTTATTTTGCCATCGCTATTCTCCTAGTTTATCTTTAGAATGTCAACAAAAGCTACACAGAAAGTATTTCCTTTTTCCAAATATCTTTCACCGATCATTATCACCACTCCTATGCCCATTCCTCTGCTGAGACCAAACTATTCCTTCCCTATATTTTCTTCTATAACTTTGTTAAGCATTTTATTCAATATTTTCAATAAGATCTTTGCTGTGTGTGTCACTAGGCTAATTGCTCTAATTCTGAAGAGATTCTCTGCTTTAAATTATTTTATTACAATGACTCATTTCTGTGTAGGGATATCTCGTTATATTGGTGGCAATGATAGCACAGGGAAAAATTTAATCATGAGTGCTACGAAGGCGGATAAGAGTGACATGAATCCAATTTTCATTTTAAACTCAGGATTTAGTAGAACAGTTGGGTATTTCCGACACATTTTTGTAATATATGCGAATGATGTAACGCCAATGATGTACAAAATCGATTCATTCTTTATTGGTATGAAACAAAAGTAGGCAACAAAGAGGAAAACCTGGATTTCAATTTTAGACGCGTAGCGAATTTTGTCTCTCAAAATGCCCCCGGCTTAACATTTTTTTTAATTACCTTCTTAAGACTAAGAAGAAATACAAACCAAACATTCTGAACAGAAAAAGTAATTTTTGATTATGTTTTCTCATACGTAGAAAATTACAGTTTTATCATTGTGAAAGATTCAAGGAAATTGGTACCTAATACTGATTTTCACCACCCCGTGGATCGCAACATTTTGGTATGGAATGAAAAAAGTTCATTTACGTAATCTTATATTGCATGTTGTTTCCGCACGTTCAAAAACCTAATTATTTTACGCGTGTATTTCTCCCGAACATTTCGCGTTTCGGCGTAAGAGCTGATTGAATTGGCAAACTCTTATAGTCTCGACGATTATTTTGATGGAAAAAGTTCTTTAATTAAAAACGTTCACCGTTTTCTTAAGTACGGATACCATTAGACCCATTTTGGCCGTTCTAAAAAAAGGGCTTTGGACGACAACATGGGGTAGTTTCCTCAGAAACACTCGTGTAAATAAACGAATTAATAATCAATCAATTTAGAATTTAAATTCGATTTAATTAAATTTTGAGATCGCAAACATCTGCGGTTGGGGGCGTTTGCAATCTCACCGGGTATAACTAAAAAATTTCAATTTCAAATTCAAATATACCTTTAAAAGTCCTTTTCAGTGAACCAATGAGAACTGTTCAAGGATGTCAAATTAAATAAAGAAAATTACATTTCGTCAAATTTCGTAGCTAATATAATAATAAATATAGGGATGTTAACCCTTAAAAGCTTCGCGTTGCTAAAATTAAGCTTCCGAAACTGTATATTGAGGAAACAGGTTGGCTGTAATTTTATAACATTATGAAACGCTGCTAGTCCGATGGACCATTTTAATTTTAGTGATTAATAGAGAGAAAATGTAATTTTTCATCTGAATCGTGTTTGAAATTCGAACCGAGTCTTTCCTTTTAGCCTTCTAGGTCCTAGGATTACGTTGGTGGAAATTGCCATATAAACCGCAGGGGATGCTTTTATTTATTATAGCTTTCTGTTTTCGAAAATCGATCCGTTTTATTCTGCCCGTGTTTGGTTACAACGGATTTACATTTCTCAACCCATTTTTATTGTATCAATTCCAGAATCTGTTTTTAACCTATTTAAACCGCAATCAGCAAAATCGTTTTCATAAGATGGACACATTTCCTTTTTTTCACAGTGTATCTAAACTTGTAAAGTAAATAACTGCAAGCTTACAACCAGTAACTTATCAACCCCTATAAGATTCTGGAAACAAATTTTCTCTATTAAGTGGTTCGTACTACTATACTAAAGCCGCATCTACAATTGGTCCGCTATTTCCGCGGAAGCAGAGCTGATGGGCAGAATACTTTCAAAAAGTATTTGAATACTAAATAGTAAATACTTTACACAAATCAAAGGTATTTGAATACTAAATACTTTTACGTCCAGCACAAGCGAATACTAGATACAGATACATTGAAAAGTATTCAAATACTTAAAAAAATAAGTATTCAAATACTTTAGAATGTATTCGAATACTTTCAAAAGTATTTCATTAACTTACTTTGAAAAGTATTCGAATACTTGTCACTCAAATACATTAAACATTTAAAATAGTATACTAGATAAAAGTCTTAATACTACTTAAAAAATCAAGTTATACCGTTGAGTGAAGGATCTTATACTTTGTATGGGGTTAGCTTTATTTATATTTCTATTGTTATATACAAATTTAAGGGGAGTAAAAGCGTATTATTATTATTACATTATTATATAGGAGGTAACTACCAGGACCTTTCTTATACCAGTTATATCCTTAAGAATACGTGTACCAGCTTTCAAAGCGTCGGGCACATGATACGTACGCCTTTGTGAAATTAATCCTAGCGATTTTGAAACAGATCCATTTTTTACCATCCGTTTGTCCGTGTGCATGATATTTTGCTTAGAAACGTGCGATCGCGGTACACATGGTCTTAAGGAGATAAGAACAGTCCCTATTGTTTTTAAGTTACGTAGACTATCGAGTCAAAAAGTTTCACTCCAGGATCGTTCGGTATTCAGTTGTATCGGATTTTTATATTTGATTTTGTGGCAATGGAAACTTTCCCTAAACATTTCTAAATTGTTCTCAAATATTTGAATAATTTAAAAGTACTGCTTTTTTTTGAGGCCCGAAAAAAATTGTCTCAGATCGACCCAGAAAATTTTCTTATAGAATGTGGCCCGTAGAATCCATAATTTCAAACAGTTCCAAGATTGGGCTACTATAGTTCACAAGTTACAGCCCTTTGAATTTTCTTTGGAAATGGGTTTCTAGTCCATAACTATTGATTGAGAAGTCTGATCGAAAAACTAAGAATTGTTTTGGATTCTACGCACCAAAATTAATAAGAAAAAGTGTTTTCCGAGAAATTTTGGTGCAGTCGATTTTTGGTAAAAAAAGGAAGGTTGTACACTGCCTTTTTTTGAGCCACGAAAAAAAATTGTCTCAGATCGACCCGGGAAAAAAATTTTCATATAGAATGTGGCCCGTAGAATCCATAATTTCCAACAGTTCCAAGATTGGGCTACTATAGTTCACAAGTTACAGCCCTTTGAATTTTCTCTCGAAATTGGTTTCTAGCCCATAACTTTTGATTGAGAAGTCCGATCGAAAAAGTACGAATTGTTTTGGATTCTACGCACCAAAATTAATAAGAAAAAGTGTTTTCCCGAGAAATGTTGGTGCAGTCGATTTTTGGTAAAAAAAGGAAGGTTGTACACTGCCTTTTTTTGAGCCGCGAAAAAAAAATTGTCTCAGATCGACCCGGAAAAAAAATTTTCTTATAGAATGTGGCCTGTAGAATCCATAATTTCAAGTTACTAGTTCCAAAGTTACAGCCCTTTGAATTTTCTTTCGAAATTCGTGTCTAGTCCATAACTTTTCATAACTATTCAATTCCTGGCGAAGTATTCGAATACTTTACGAAGTATCCAAATACTAGTATTCGAATACTAAATATTTGTAAAAGTATTTGAGTTACAAATACAAATACTGCTTCCATAAAAGTATTTAATTACAAAGTATTTGAATACTTTAAAGGATTTGAATACTAAAAAGTATTTACAAAAACGAAACTGCCCAGATCTGGGCGGAAGTATATTTCGATAATTATTTTCTGACTAAGAGTTGATCCATTTTTCTAATGACCTTCGAATTAAATGCTGATTTGGAGTAAGACTCTATTTCAACTTCTATTTGTAACGTTTGAAAACCATTTGTTATGTTTTATATTTTTGAATTAAATTGCCATCGATTTCAGTTATTATTTGGCTATCCGTTATTGTTTATGTTCAACTGATTCAATTTCTTTGCCCTTTTAGCTTTTTCAAGAATAGAACAAGGATCTCTTAGTCTGATTCTTTTTAAATTGTCTATAAGACTAAGTGGCGCCTATCCGTCTTACCTAATTACTTATTTTTGCTTTGTTGACTATCCGTAGAAGAGAACCCATTAAACACCACGACCCATCTCTGCCTTGCTCTGAGCTTATCTGTTTAGCTAAAGGTAATTTTGTTGCAAGTGCTACATACATACATACATAATTACAAATTGTAGGAAGTAATTTTCGAGTATGCGTCAGGTAGTATGGAACCGTCTATTTATAATGTGCATACACAAGTTTTGGAGTCTGTGCAAAGAAAGTTTTGCAAATCTCTTTACCTTAAATTAAATCGTAGGGAATTTACCCAATCAGACATTACGACCACCTGAAGCTTCTGGAGGAGACAAATGTAGAGTCTTTAGAAAGGCGCAGAATAAGAATTAGCTTAGCCTTTCTTCATAACCTGGTCCAAAATAAAATTGATTCCTCTAAGCTTCAATATCTCAACTTTTATGTTGCTGGTTATACTAAAATGCAATAAATTCCTTCAAAAATTCAGCCGTGTTTGAATTTTCATATTTAGAAAATATCTACAAGGAAATCATTCATGTAAATAGTGCACAAAGAGACCGATGTGGGAGAAATTGGAAGGAAAATAGTAGCTTCTAACTTTGCTCACGCACTAAAATTGAGTTTCAGTTTTAGAGTGTTTGATTTTCCTCTTCATTGGAGTGCATGGAAGTTACCTGTGGAATTAAATGGACTTATAAGTGCTTTTGTAAATCGCTATACGAATGTAAATAACCCCAATTTTAGGTAGGTATGTTAGGTATAACATTGCTCTCAATAATTTAATTATGCAGGGATCGAGATTAAAAGGGATTTGATGCATAAATGAATGTTTAATTCTCACTGAGATTAATGTTAACCTTTGATGAACTTAAAAATGTCGATAAGTAAGCATGCTTTACACAGAAATCGTGTCAAAACTGTAAACTACAAATGCCAAGTAAGTAAATTTACTTTAACCACTCAAATTACTCAAAACGTTTCAGAAAAAAATGTTGCTCTCATTTCTACTGTTATACCAAATTCAACATTCCTTTGCCAACATTATCCCAAGTGTGTGTCATGGAAATCACTGGAATTCACTGTTGTGTATTGGAGTAACTTCGCAGAAAGATTTAAGAGATGGCATTTCAAACGCATTGGGAATAGTTTCTCCGCCTCAATTTGACAGCCTTGAAATCACCCACAGTCAATTGAACTTTTTGGGTCCGGATCTCAACAAGAAACTTTACCAACAAGTTCAAAACCTGAAAATTAGCAACTCTAACCTATCTAACGTACAAAGTGAAGCATTTATAGGTTTCAGTCACCTCCAAAGTCTAAAAATTGAAAGTAGCAACATTTTGATGATCGACTTGGCCGCCTTTCACGGTTTGCCCAACTTAAAGATGCTGCAGCTAAGTGAGGTGAAAGTCAAAAGACTACCATGGGGCTTATTTGATCGTTTACCTTACCTTATCAAGCTCGAATTGATCGATTGCCAGCCGGAGTTCATTGACAGGAACGTGTTTCACAATTTAAACACCCTCAAAGAATTGGTGCTCACAAAAAATGCGCTGACAAAGCTCCCGGTGAATTTGCTACGCCCACTTATCTCAATTGAAACACTTATGCTAAATGACAACAAACTAGAAACCCTAGATTTAAAAGGCCTAAAACACCTGCACTCCTTGTTCCTGCAGAAGAACTACATTTCAACAATACCAAGGCATTTCTTCCAGGCTAACAGAAATCTACGCGTTCTGGTCCTAGACGATAACGGAATCAGCGATTTGGAATGGGACGTATTCGCAGACTTGCCCCAATTGGAGATCTTAGGGCTGATGCATAATACAATCTCCAAATTGCATCCGCTCATCTTTAGAACCACCACAAATCTCCACACCCTAAATTTGGCCGCGAACCAAATCTCGAAGCTCGATTCCAATACATTCAACGGACTAACACGCCTCGCGAACCTAAACCTAATGGACAATCGCCTCGAAACCCTCCCCGACGGTCTCTTCTCGAAAAACCTACACCTCTCGTTTCTGGATCTGAGCGCTAACAACCTCAAGAGCATTTCGCCAACGAACTTCCGCCACCTACGCTCGTTGGCGAGTCTCAAGTTGAAAGGCAACGAGATTTCCGACATCCACGGGGAGGCGTTTCGAGATTTGGCTTTGCTTCAAGTTTTGGATTTGGATAACAACGAAATTCGGGAAATTGACGCGGGACTGTTTGGGAACCTGAAAAAATTGCGCGTGCTGGTGTTGGCGAATAATTACCTTCGAAATTTGCCTAACGGGATTTTTAACGGGTTGACGTCCATCGAAAGTATCGAGCTTGAAGGTAATAATATCACGGATGAATTTAATAAGAGCGTTTCAAAATTTATCAGTTTCTAATGATTCGCGATACTTAAATCGACGTTTGGTGTCCTTTCGATCTTATCTTTGTACAAAGTGTATGGTATAATAACAAATAAACCACGCATTTATGTTTTGTTCGGTAGCTATAAATGCGTCCCAACATTTGCGTTCCTTCTTTAATTCGTTTTTCCGTAACCATACCCATAGAAGGATAATAGTTAACAACTTTACCTATAGTCCAGGGAATAGAGGGTTTTAACTTGCAAAATGAGAAGTAGTTCCAATTTCTTTTGCATGTCATAGACAGTCATGTGGTGGTTAAGGATCTAAGTTTTCGACCTCCCACCTCTTGTGCTTCCCCCGTACCACCCCCAAAACCCCTGAAATTTGGTTGGTTTCTTAGTTTTTCAGTCATATGTTTTTAATGGTTCACTTTAGAAAAATATATTGTTATCAGAAATTGAAGACTATAAAATTCTACACAACTTTGATATAAACTACTTTTTTGTGAAATGTTTATTAAAAACGGCATGAAGCATCAGAGTTGGTTATATTTTTAAGAATTCTAAAATTTGTATGTAGATGTTTTAACCAAATTTTATACTTTATGTCTATAATTAAGAGTTTTATGAGAAAATATCTTGAATTTATCGTGGTATAAATCCCTTTACCCTGCACCCTTACCAAAGGGGATGCATAATAATTCAACTTGCAACCCTTGCTAGTGAGGATATTTGAATCACTGTGAGATTGCAGCGCTTTCTAAAATACTTTTTAAATTAAAAAATTGTCTCACTTCATTCAGTTTAGTTTTACCCCCCCCCCCCCCCCGCGCGGTAGGAATAGATATTTAAACGCTCTTATGGCGATTGTGAAGTTAGTCAGAGAGTACAACGCTTATCACGTATATTTTCTATTCCTCTATACATATCTATTCCTACCGCGGGGGGGGGGGGGGGTGATAAAGGATAGGAAGGATGAAGCTGAACTGAAGTGAGATACCTAATTTTTTTTGTTTCAAACGTATATTAGAAAGCCCTACAATCCCACAGTGATTCAAATATCCCCACTAGCAAGGGTTGAAAGTTGAATTATTATGCATCCCCTTTGGTAAGGGAGCGGCGTAGGGCGATTTATACCACGTAAGTTCAAGATTTTTCTTATAAAACTCTTAATTATAGAGATAAAGTATAAAATTTGGTTAAAACATTTACATACAAATTTTAGAATTCTTACAAATATAAGCAACTCTGATGCTCTATATCGTTTTTAATAAACATTTCACAAAAAAGTAGTGTATATCAAAGTTGTGTAGAATTTTATAGTCTACAATTTCTGATGACAATATTTTTTCGTAAAATGAACCTATAAAAAGATATGATTGATAAACTAAAAAACCAACCAAATTTCTTTGGTTTTAAGGGTGGTACGGGGGAAGCACAAGGGGAGGGAGGTCAAAAACTTGGATTCTTATCCACCAGATATTCTTTCATGGCATGCAAAAAAAATTGGAACTACTTCTCGTTTTGCAGGAAAAGGTCCATTTTCAGTCTCTATTTCCTGGACTACTAGGTACTGTTGATTAGGTATGCTGTTTCCAGAAGGATGAATTTTATAAAATTGGAACCTTCTATTTTCATGTTCAAGATTCGCCGACACTAAGTTTCGTGCAAACCAGGGTTTTTTGCACGTCCGTTCAAAGAACCATTACTGTAAAATAGAAAAAAAATAGTCTAAGGGCTTTCAAGCGCTATGTCAGGTGATAACTTTTAATGGAAAGTAAGATCCGTTATAAAAATGTCTCAGTTGGAAACTCCTTAAAGTCCCACCGTCATTTACAGAGCATTTCTAAGATTTCGAATCTGTAAAGATTCAAGATTCATTCCTTAGCAGCCTTTTCCGTGCTTTTTGGGCAAGATTAGACGAACAGAGACTAGAATGGGGTTAAAACACTCTGGAAATGCCATACAAAATACTAAGAGGGTAATAAAACGTTTCGGAGTAGTATATCAATCTTTGAAGAGCACTTAGCACACTTTTCCAGAGCGATCTAGTTTTCTCCAAAATTGTCCAATCTCGGTTTTCTTGGGCATGTTTGGACGGGGTATAGAATGGAACTAGGGCACTCTGAAAATAGCCTACAAAACTCCAAGAAGGCAAATGTTATGGAGTTATATCGCTGGAAATGAAGCTTCTCTTGAAAACTAAAAACGCACATAGTATTCTAGAAAGCATTCCCAGAGGCTTATTGCCTTTCTGGCGCTCTAAAATACTACAGAGCACAGAAAGCCGCACAGTTTGTGTAAAAAACCCGGAAAGGAAGTATTGAAAAATGTTTTCCAAAAATTCGTCTCTGCAGTGACTGTTTTAGACCCTTCAGGTGTTTCCCAGAGTTAGAAGAATCTAGAAAGGGTCCAATAACAGCGATTTTAACTCTGCGGAAGGCCTTAAAAAAGACTTTTCCTACCAACCCAAGTATCTAAACCCTTGTATCCCTTCTCCAGAGTGACCAAGCACCTCTCGCGCGTTTTTTATAATCGTAATGTGCCCTTCTCAAAAAATATCTATAATATGGTCTTTTAATGCTCCCAGGACCAGTTCCGCACTATCGGAGCTTCTTAGACCTTATCAAGCACTTTGTCTCCTGGTTGTGCTTTGAAATAAGGATGCCTCGAAATTGCCTAAAAAGTGTTCATTGCATCTAAGATAAGGATGTTTATCAGGGGGATCTCGGAAAGCACAAAAGCTACGAAGATGGTCAAATTAGTTGGGCGATTACCTGTAATCGTCATGCTGAAAGAAAATCAGGACTTCGTTGAGAGATTTTTAATACAACGTTTCGTTTCGGAGAAATCATCATCAATTTTATTTCTATACAATCCGTAAAAAAAGTACATACAGTTGGAAATGTTTGGAATTATGGATAGATGTGTTTTAATACAGGAAAAGAAATACTATCATAATCCCGCTATCCCTATTTGTGCACTGCACAAAAGTTATTAAAAAGTGCCGATTTCCATAAAAGTATATATCCTGTTAATTATAAAAGTCGACAGGATAAACTCAAGCATGATGTCAAAATGAAATGCATGGATATATAATATGAATAGCGTTCTATAATGGTAGAAGCGTTAATTTTTTTGAACGCATCCCTTTTTCAGTGCTCCACTCGATCTGAGTTGAAAATTGGAAGCTTTTAGTTTCCGCAATTACGGAAGGAAAACCTAAATTGATTTCGTATATTTATTTATCAGCCACTCGCACACCAAAACGTTGTGTCGAACTGCCGAAAGGCAAACAAATGTGAGCTTTCCGAAGTGCTGATATTACTTTGAAAGAAAACAAGGGAGACTCTCCAAGGGCCAGCGACTGTGGTGGGCGAAGGTCCTTTAAAATGTCAATCAAAATTGGTTAGAATTTTCAACAAACAAAACGAATTGGACTCTATGAGTTCGTTGCTGCTCTAGGGGATACACTTCACTGAGAATTGTTTGTCATTTGAAAAGAGCCAATCTTCACGGATGTACGCATTTCTATAATTAGTCCCTTTCAATTTACTCATGAGTATACATAATATATGGTTTACTTTATCCGTATATTCGACATTTTCGCAATGCTATAAATTATTATTTTTCGTTCCGCTTCGAAGAAGTAGGAAGTTTTGAGTTATTGCTGTACGGTTCCATTTCGCAGACATGATAAATGAAAATCCTCTGATTACGTAATGTTTCCGATTGACTGCAATTGGTAGCAAAAGGTTTAGGGTAAACGTGAAAGAAGTAGCGATCATTGTACCCATTTAAGGTATTGGAAAATTTTCAGGTCAGGGAAAAACGTATCTGCGAATAAAAATTAAGCACACAGAATCAATAAACGAATTAAATGAAATGAGATAAAATAAAATGAATTTTTGTACGAGGGCCTCTTTTAAATTTTCTGCCATACCGGACAAAGCTTCAACAAACAATTTATTTCCGGTGGACCCTCGACTATATCGAAATGGTTTCGACAAACAAACAAAATTAAATGGGCCGTTAATACTATCGCAGACAACTCCTTGTACACATCCGGCATCTAGTAGAAGAAAATTCCTAATATTCATTTAATTTTTTTCAATTTGAGAGACTCGATCAATCGATTCAAATAAACACACAAATAATTGATTGACAATGACAATAATTTATTTCGAAACAATTAAAACAAAATCTCTGCAAGGAACAAAAGCTTACAAAGCTTGCTTGGGCATAAACCCCGCACGCAAGCGGTTGATAATGCTTACAATCGAATTAACTTTTTCTAAATACGGACAAATCGTTTTAAAAACTTTTTCAATATATATCCAAAAGCGCGTGGCGTGGCACTTGTTATGGCAAATGTTTCTTTGTGGTTGTCACAACTGCTATATAACGTAAACCTACACTACTATAATAGTTTAATTATATTTTATGTTTCAGAAAATGGAAATGAAGACGCTCAACGAGACGACGACGTGGCCAACGGAAGATTCCGAATCGGCGGACAACACGACAACATTTATAATCGGCTTCGGAATTTTGCTAATCTTCGTATTCTTCGGCGTCCTGGCGAGCGTCTTTTTATGCGTGACGCTAAAAAAGGACGCATATTTGTGGGAGATCGAGAGCGACGAACAGCTAGAGCATAAATCCGATCCTGGGGAAATTGATCTTTCAGTAAGCGCGGATAAAATAATGGACAATACTCAAATTTAACACGATTGTTTTTTGTGCGCTACAATTGAAGCTGATTTCATTGCAGGGATTGAAACTCAATTAATATGGAGAGAAACGTTGTATTAGGTACATGTGTCACTCGTTATTTAAGGCTATTTAGGTGGATGAATGTTCAAAGTTTCTATTACATTTTTGTAATGCTTTTACTATAAGTAAGAGTTTTCTCACGAAAAATGCAGTAATTTTACTTTGTTGATATAGCTATGTGGCCGTGAGAAATGCATTTTTTACAAGATTAAACAGATTACTATGCATTATTAATTGTAGCCATTTCTGTCCGTCTGTCCCCTTTGTTTGTCTGTGACGTTTTAACTAGAAAAAGAACAATGATTTGTTAGTGCTTGCTTAATTGGAAACATAAGGGTGGAGGTGCGAATGAGAGGAGCGATCCCTTTTGCAGGATAGTTAGAAGAGCCGGAGTAACAAAGCTTTTTTGAAAACTAAGAAACAGAGCTACGTAGAAACAATTTAAACACTCTGCCCCCGATTCGCCCCTACAAATAGCATTTCTTGCAACCCACTCAACTTGCAAATAGTAACTTCCAACCTTCCTCCTGTGTTTGGAACCGGCGGCAGTACTTGTGGAGTAAACGAACTGTACAATAACAGTTAACAGTTATGGTAAGTAGTAAAGAACTAGTAATATCACAATTGTTATAGACTAGAAACCAATTTGGAAAGAAAATTCAAAGGGCTGTAACTTTTGAACGAGTAGCCCAATCTTGGAACTGTTTGTAATTATGAATTCTACAGGCCACATTCTATAAGAAAAATTTTTTTCCGGGTCGATCTGAGACAATTTTTTTTTCAGGGCTCTAAAAAAGGCAGAGTATAACCTTCCATTTTTACCAAAACTCGACTACACCAAAATTTCTCGAGAAACACTTTTTCTTATTAATTTGGGTGCGTAGAATCCAAATCAATTCATACTTTTTCGATCAGACCTCTCAATCAAAAGTTATAGACTAAAAACCAATTTCAAAAAAAAATTCAAAGAGCTGTAACTTTTGAACTAGTAGCCCAATCTTGGAACTGTTTGAAATTATGGATTCTGCAGGTCACATTCTATAAGAAAAATTTTTTCCGGGTCGATCTGAGACAATTTTTTTTTCAGGGCTCTAAAAAAGGCAGTGTACAACCTTCCTTTTTAACCAAAAAATTCAAGGGGCTGTAACTCTTGAACTAGTAGCCCAATCTTGGAACTGTTTGAAATTATGGATTCTTGTATAAGAAAATGTTTTTTCCGGGTCGATCTGAGACAATTTTTTTTCGGGGCTCAAAAAAAGGCCGTGTATAACCTTCCTTTTTTAACAAAAATCGACCACACGAAAATTTCTCGGGAAAACACTTTTTCTTATTAATTTGGGTGCGTAGAATCCAAATCAATTCGTACTTTTTCGATCAGACTTCTCAATCAAAAGTTATAATTCACAAACAATGAGAGAAAATGTGTAACAGCTAAAGTGAAAAAAAGAACACTAAATCTACTTATATGTATGTGTAAATGACGAAGAGGAGGTCAAATGACAGGATTTTAAAATTGTCAGAATTTGACAAATTACAACGCACTTAGAGAGGATTACAATCACAGTAGACACTATTTAGCTCTTTTTCCAACAGAGGTGCGCTATTGTGTTTATTTTCTCTGTCCGTACGTTCGTCGTAACCTATTTTTACAATTTTCAAGAAACTCTATCAATCCTTAAGAAAGTTCAAGAGTGTTTAAGAGAATCATTAGTAGATTTAAAAGACTTTCAAGGCATTTGAGTACAACTGCCTTTAAGAAGAAGAAGAAGAAACATTTTTTTGCGAATAGGTAGATTCGTCTATAATGCTGAAGACCCTCGTGAGGCAGTCGTGAAGGAGCTCTAAAAAACAATTTGCAAAGACGCAAAGGTGGACACGTGAAAGGAAGCGAAGGAAAACAAGTGTAAAAGAAAGACATGCGAGGAATCCAAATGAACATGAATGAATGAAGCATAATTCACACGTGGAAGAGGACTATGGAAGGAGGGGGCGGGACAAGAACGGTTGTATTAAAAATGGGAAATAAAAAGGTGTGAAAAAGAGATTGAGGAAAGGAATATTAAGGAATATATGAACAAAAGAAATCGTGAAGAAAGGAGGCGAGAAAGAAGGAGGTTTACAAGGAAGAGGCGTAACGAAAGGAGTCGTGCACAAAACAGACGTGAAAATCGGATGGAAAAATAAAGATGGGATTTCAAGGCCTTCAAGTATACGTGACGGGGGGTAGTGTGAAACGCCGAGGCGTAAAGAAAACATGAGGCAATAAGGGAATAAGCGTGGAATTAAGTGCAGAAGGTGTGCAGTGGAGGGAGGGAAACGGCGTCAAGGAGGTATAAAGAAATCGGGAAGGAAATTTGAATGTGCGAATGAATGAATTTGAAGTAGCTTAAGAGGTTGTGAAATGGCAGAAGGCGAAAACGTGCATTATAAGCGCAGGTGTAGAAGAGGCAAGTATAAAGCAATTGTAGAGCAGGTCTGGAATAGACGTGAATAAATGATTTTAATGAACATTTTTGTATTTGTCTCTGTGTGTCCCCGGATGGTTTAAATTCACAATTGGGCCTTCTTTTTATCATGATGTCGCACTCTGCTATTTCGTCGGATAGCCTTTAAAGCCCCTTTCAGGTTTGATAATCTTTAAGACTTTAGCCTTTACGAGTTTCACGATCCGTAAGTGCCTCTATGGGTTTTCTAAGAATCTGTAAGAGCTTTCAAGAGTCACTAACAGTTTCTAAAGGCACCCAAAGGTCTCCAGGAGTTTGTATAAAAAGATCCGAGAGTTTTCCTTAAAGATTAAAAGTTAAAGTCTTTAACAGCATTTGATGGCCCTTAACAGCCATTAAAACCCTCAATACGCTTTAACGGTGTTTAGGAGACGCGCTTTTTACGAATCCTAGAAAGTGTTGTCAGTCTTTAAAGGAGCCTTTACTGATCAGGAATGGTATATTCCGAGCTTTAAACAGTTTCCAAGAGCCTTCCAGAAGCTTAGAAGACTCTTTAAGTTTATCGTTGTTTCTTGAAGTGGTTTAGAATTTTTCATGACCACAATGGAAAAACGGGAAGGTTAACCTATATTATTTAATGTTAAACAAGATGGGCACACAGAAATTTGAAACACAGTGTCTTTCACATAGTACCTTTTGATGGTGTTAAATCAGCAAACAGTCACGGTGAAGGATATAGAAGAGACGTTTCTTTTTGGGGAAAGGTTTTAAAAAAGCCTTAAAGAAAGGCACATGAAGGTATATATGGAAAACGGTTGCAAAATAAGCCTTTTTGGCTTTTGTAACCGAAAATTAAATTTTACAAGTACTTAATGCAACATTTGGGTCCTTTGGAACGTTAATCCTACTGTATGGCAGTATTCAATGACCCCAAATTTATTTAAATACCAGAGACTGAGACTGTAATTCAAATAATTATAAACCAACAACGTCTAAAAGCAGAATTTGGTTGCATTGAGGCTCAAATTATCTAATCCTTTTTCACAATGCCATTTGCTTATGGGTCAGATGCTACCTACGGTGCACATATATTTTTGTGCCAGGATAGCCAACTACATTTTGATAGTTTGACGTATGGAATATTGGCAGACCGTCATATTTAAGAAGACAGATTATACTATTGTGTAGAGTTTTCAAAAGTGTATTAGATTTAGCAGTTTTTATTACCTAATTAAGTGTTAATGTGTGAAATTTTGACGGCACTTCCTGAAAAACAAAGCCTAATATCGTATCAAGGATTTTAGCGACGGTAGCAGTAAGTAAATTCACGTTTCTAGAAATTGATCCATCAATGCGTTAGGCCGGATGAAACATTCCATTCCCAACGAAAAGTGGAAAAAGTGCAATTAGTAGGACTTCGTTTTGACAACCAAACGTCCGAATTTTACGGAACTGACTGTTTGCCACAACGCCGATATTCAGTTATTGACATCTCCCTTTAGTGTCAAAACGCAACAAAGTTTTTTCTTGTAATAACGTTTGGTTTTGTATATGTTATTGAACGAAGACCAGTGGGTGGCTTTTCGTTGATTAATTTTGTTCACAGTTGAGAACTCAGTGCGAACTTTTAGTTTTAGGAGCGTACTAAATATGAACTGCTATGGATCAAAATAGACAAGAAGCGAATCCTGCCCAAAACAGTCTGCAAGTACACATGCACCTGATGTGCTGCCCCTGTAACGGTGTGATGTATCCTTATTACGCACCTGGATATCGGCCCCCAATCTTAACTCAACCCCCACCTTTACCAAGACCTTCCTATCTTCATCATTACCAGTACACTCAACTACATGTGAATCCTCCTTACAGTTTGTCTCTTCCACCACCCATAACGCAAACTTTGCCTGCAAACATTTGCCCAATGCCATCTGCAATAGAGATTGCCTTCGAGCCTCCTCCTCGTGATCGAAGAATCCTGGACAAACAAGATAGCGAAGATAATCGCAATGCTTTAACACCTTTCGTTTCCTTGGGCGAAAATTCATCAATGGATCAACTGAAGGGAATTTTCAGAAACCTCACCGCTTCTCAAGTCGCTTCCTTGTCCACCGACAACTACATAAGATACCTAGACAACGGATGCTTTATTGGCGAGAGCATCGCGAAGAGAAATGAGCAACGCCCTTGCTTTAAAAACATACAAAACCTGTGCAACAGAACTCGCAGCGAGGTCACGAAGCCTAACATTACCGTTTCCAACATTCACTCACAGGGACTACCGTGGGCGACCAAGGACTTTATCTTTGCATTCGTCCGTGCCATCAACTGTTGGTGCATCCTGCGAGGATATCTCGGTCCGAAAGACGGCAACTTGGGCAAAATCGATCGGGAAATTACAGACGAATTCAGGGAGTGCTACGCGAATTGGGAAAAGTGCACGAAAAAGTTGACCTACCACCTCATTCAGACATTCCACAATTTGGACGAAGCGAATTCGTCATCTAATCTAAACGCGCAGTGTCCCAAACCCAAATTCCCCTCCCCTCAAGAACCGCAACGGAGAAAAGAGGCACCAACACAAAATAAGATTCCGGGAATTCTCCACATACCGTCGACTTCCTCCGCCGACGTGGTTGACGATCACCCTCAATCGGAAAGCACAATTTCGCCCAGAGAAGAGGATTCCGACAGCGAATGCCGAACTTACATGAAACCGGGAAGCTACAACGTACCGAAGAGGGAGAGCTCCCCAAATTTGCAGGTAGGCAGCGATGCAGGCGAGGAGACGTTCAATCCAAACGATCAAATTTGGCAGACAGCCCAAAGCGTTGCCCCGGATTTTATACGGTTAAATCAAGTGAGCGCCTTCAATGACTCGGTTAAGAAGATAAGCAACATGTCCGTTTTTCCACCGGTCGTGGATAGCTGGTTGGGCAGCGAGGCCAGTCTGTTCGAAATTAGCGATGGGGATGATGAGAAGTTATCACACTCTAAAGCGCAATGGGACTCATCAGGTAATAACGCCCACGTATAAATTCCATTATTCGGCTAAACTCGTAGAGACGGACTGCGAAGTGCTTTCTAATCCTTACCGTGGAAGTCCCATCGGAAAGGAGTACTCCACGTATCGTCGGAGTGCGTGGGAGTACAGAAACGGAGGACTGACCACCGCCTCGTGGGGCGTCTTTGAAAATATACTAAAGGAACTCGACCGTCTTGACATATCAAAGGCAAGTATATCCTTTAGTGGGGTGTGACATTAAAAGTTTCGCTTTAGGCCGAGTCAGATTTGAGCAGCGCTCACTTGGACCTATCTACAATTTCGAAAAAGGTGGAGGCGAAAATGTATTACTACGTTAACGAGGTTATACACGATTTTAGACAGTTTATTAGCTGCGCTTATGACACTTTCTCGGTGAGATTAATGCCAGTGATTGCTTCAGTAATGAGTGTGCGTTTCAGCGTGATCGTTGCATTCTAATTCAAGTTGGACTGTTCAGGGATGCGTTCGAAAAAATGGTGAAACAATCGTTTGTAGGTTTAGATTTTAGTCACATTACCGGAGAGGATTCCGATTCCGTTGGACCGCTCGTCTTTGTTGAAGGTGCTCGGAACGTACGAAATCCAGAAGGTGATGGTGACCATTAAAATGAGGAACAATAGTAGGAATAAGATCATTTTGATTAGTAAAATTTCAAAAACTCCTGTATTTTGTATAAGTGTATCCAAAACATTGTCTTTTAATAAACTTCAGACTTGGTTTGAGAATTTTTCATCAATTTTGACTAGCCATGGAGGGAACATACACCGCCACACACTGGTAGTCGAAGGCGCCCAACGTACGGGGAAGGTGTTCAGGAGACTTTTGTCTAAATAATTCCACTCTTCACTGATTTAATGAACTGTTTGGGAGCATATAGGTCTTTCGGCTTTTGAGATTCTTGTAGTATATAAAAAAACACTCAGTTGAGTACAAAGCTCTTGGATGCGTAACTGCCGTACACAATTAATATTAACTTTGTCACTTATAAGGAAAGAACAAAACCACTGTTAAGGTTGTACCTAGCGCTAAAGAGCTGGCATTGATTCAAAAACGAAGAGATCGCGTTTAAGGGGGCATTTTCACAAAGAAAGTTCGGCTGTCTCATATTCTGAAAGCGATCCAGGTTTCACATTTTCTTGAAGAAACTTTTCGAGAACTTTTACATTTCATTGGATATCCTAGCAGTGACTTAATTTTTTTAGAAATTCTCTCTTAGTTATTATTCTCATATACAATGAGAGGGTTGTAACATTTGTCGTATATAAAAAATTCTTGGTTTTTTAATTGATTATCTTTAAATGGTCCAAAAGAATTCCTATAAATTCGAATTTTAATACCAGCCCTCGCTATTTTGAAATGATTAATTTTTTTAGGAATTCTCTCTTACTTATTTTTCTCATATACAATGAGAGGGGTGTAACTTTTGTCGTATATAAAAAATTCTTGGTTCTTTAATGGGGTATGGAAATTTAATTTAAAACGCATTTCACAAATAATTTCAATAACAATATTTAAAGTAAATAAAAAATTTCTTTAATTGATTATCTTTAAATAGTCCAAAAGAATTCCCCTATAAATTTGAATTTAAGTACCAGCCCTCGCTATTTTGAAATGATTAATTTTTTTAGGAATTCTCTCTTACTTATTATTCTCGTATACAATGAGAGGGGTGTAACTTTTGTCGTACATAAAAAATTCTCGTTTCTTTAATTGATTCTCTTTGAATGGTCCAAAAGCATCCCTATAAATCTGTATTTAAATACTAGCCCTCGCTAATTTGAAATGAATCAATTTTTTTTTGAAATGTTCTCTTACTTATTATCCTCATATACAATAAGAGGGGTGTAACTTTTGTCGTTCATAAAAAATTCTTGTTTCTTTAATTGAATATCTTGAAATGGTTCAAAAGCATCCCTACAAATTTGAATTTAAGTACCAACCCTCGATATTTTGAAGTGACTTTACTTTCTTCAGATTCTCCTCACTTCCATTTAAGATTTCAGTAATGTTTTTATTTATACCTGTTACATTCCTCTGATCTGCGTATTTTGGACACTCTACTAAGATATGGTCCACAGTGACTCTATCTCGACATACATCGCATACCTCTCGTGTAGTTTTTCCCAGCAGATGTTGATGTGTCATACGAGTATGACCAATACGTAACCTCGTGAAAACAATTTCTTCCCTTTTCGATAAATGGTAATTTATTTTGATTGCTTGTGTGCTGTTTTGAAATTTATACAGGTAAGTATTTGCATCTTGCCAAGCAGAGTTCCATTTCTCATACATTCTTTTTTTCAGGTGTTTTTTGAAATCACTTGGATGAATAGAGATTCCATCATAGACTGTGGAGTTCGTCGATTCTTTTGCTGCCGTATCTACAGCTACGTTACCGGCAATCCCAGCATCACCTGGGATCCAGATTAATGTCACCCTAATATTAATATTTAGTAGGTATTGTATACGATCTTTTATCATGCATATCAAAGGGTCTACAGAATTTGCTTTATTGACTAATGCATGCATGGCACTTAATGAGTCAGAGCATATAACTACCTGCTTGGTATTTTCATATTCACAGAATATAAGTGAGTGCCATATTGCGTACAGTTCTAAGACATAGACGCTGGTGATGTCTGAATGTCTCCAAGCATAACTTTTCTGGTTGACAAACATTCTCATATACAATGAGAGGGTTGTAACTTTTGTCGTATATAAAAATTCTTGGTTCTTTAATTGATTATCTTTAAATGGTCCAAAAGAATTCCTATAAATTTGAATTTAAGTACCAGTGCTCGCTATTTTGAAATGATTAATTTTTTTAGGAATTCTCTCTTACTTATTATTCTCGTATACCATGAGGGGGGTGCAACTTTTGTCGTACATAAAAAATTCTCGTTTCTTTAATTGATTATCTTTAAATGGTCCAAAAGCATCCCTATAAATTTGAATTTAAGTACTAGCCCTCGCTATTTTGAAATGAATTAATTTTTTTAGGAATTCTCTCTTACTTATTACTCTCATATACAATGAGAGGGGTGTAACTTTTGTTGTACATAAAAAATTATTGTTTCTTTAATTGAATATCTTGAAATGGTTCAAAAGCATCCCTAAAAGTTTGAATTTAAGCACCAGTCCTCGATATTTTGATGTGAGTTAATTTTTTTAGGAATTCTCTCTATTATTCTCGTATACAATGAGGGGGGTGCAACTTTTGTCGTACATAAAAAATTCTCGTTTCTTTAATTGATTATCTTTAAATGGTCCAAAAGCATCCCTATAAATTTGAATTTAAGTACTAGCCCTCGCTATTTTGAAATGAATTAATTTTTTTAGGAATTCTCTCTTACTTATTACTCTCATATACAATGAGAGGGGTGTAACTTTTGTTGTACATAAAAAATTATTGTTTCTTTAATTGAATATCTTGAAATGGTTCAAAAGCATCCCTAAAAGTTTGAATTTAAGCACCAGTCCTCGATATTTTGATGTGAGTTAATTTTTTTAGGAATTCTCTCTATTATTCTCGTATACAATGAGGGGGGTGCAACTTTTGTCGTACATAAAAAATTCTCGTTTCTTTAATTGATTATCTTTAAATGGTCCAAAAGCATCCCTACAAATTTGAATTTAAGTACCAGCCCTCGCTATTAAGAATTGAATCAATTTTTTTTAGAAATTCTCTCTTACTTATTATCCTCATATACAATAAGAAGGGTGTAACTTGTCGTACATAAAAAATTCTTGTTTCTTTAATTGATTATCTTGAAATGGTTCAAAAGCATCCCTATAAATTTGAATTTAAGTTCCAACCTAGCGAAACATCACTTCCAGTAGTAAGTACCTAGTATTGGTCGGTTGTTGGTGATTTGCTGTGAAATTTCAATTAACGTATAAGAACCGAGCAGGGGATATTAAGTGCATGAACCGGATCTTCAATTATAAGTAAATGCATAAAAAGGAATTTGGTTAATATTTCCTGGGAATTTGTATTCCATTTAAGCAATAACATTCCTTTGAATGAACTCCATTTCTGTTTAGCCATAAGCGGTGTGTACAAATATTTTGTTTACAAAATTACCAAGAGGGTATTTTACGTAAGAAAGTTAGCTAAGGAAAGTTACGTTAAATTTTCTTTGTATTTTACGAAGCAAAGTAACGTTTTATATCAGACGGAATGTAAAAGAAATTGGAACTGCATCTCAGTAATTTATTTTACATTGCTATTTATTTAGCTGCAGTCAAACTGATGCGTCAAGGTTTTTGATTTTTAGATGTAAGGAGATAAAAGGCCAAACTTCCGTAAGGTAAGGGGTTGTAAGGTTTTATTATAGAGATAGCCGTAGAGGTTCAATTTTATATAATGAACATAAGGGTCTTCAACGCTTGTATAATGTAACTAAGTCGTCGCATATTTTTACAGTCTATTCCTTCCTCTCTCTAAAAGTCGGGCCTTGAAGAGATTTAGAGAACTTTTAAGAATCTTAAGATATGCCTTAACAGTTTTTTTAAAACTTTTAGGTGTCTAAAAGCTTTTAAGTTCCGAACCTTTACAGGTATTTATTATATTTTTAGTCTCGTCTCCAAGCTGTTGTTGGAATTTTTAGGCATTCAATCTTTAAGAAACCATATGAGCTTTTAAGTCTTTAACATGATTACTGCAATGCATTGCGGGCGCTGTATACGTTGAATGTGCTTAGAAAAGACACGTGCACTGCCGTCTGTCGTTTTTATTATTTTTGACTTTTTTTAACAGTAGCCGTAAAGAATTTGAAACCGCGTCCGGCCAGCGGTTTATAGTGATTCCTTTGGAGTTCACAAGCTCCTAAGGGTCATTAAGTCTTTTTAATTAGTATACTTCGAGATTACTAAATTAATGCTTCCCAAGAGATTTTATAAGCCTTTTACGAAGTACCTACGTCTCTAAGTAACTTTAAGAACTTTAAAAACAGCTTTCATGTGATATTAAGGCATATTTCAAAAAGTAGGTATTGACCATGCTAAAAGCATTAAAACAAAATTGAGTGGCGCAAAGAAAAACAAAAACGAATGGCCAAGTAATTTAGGACAGACGAACGGACAGTGAAAGTTTGAAATTCCAAATCACACACATTTTTAGTGTCCGCTATTATAACTACTTTCTCTGTCTGTCTGGGCCGTAACTATTACTAGAATTTTCAACTGAATTATGAAAAAAATGCAAAATTTGATATTTAGTCGTGATATCGTTTCACTTTACACTCCACCTAACTATTGCTCTTCGAATGGATGGGCTAAAAATGTGTCAGATTGGTGCTGATAGTGCTAAATGGAATTTTCTTCGTTTAGGGTTAATAAAGAAATATTTGACGATTTTAGTCTTTTGTACGTAAGATACACATAAAGTTAAATACAAAACACGCCCAAAAATCTATCTTTATACAAAATCGGATTGTGGCTACTTAGGATTAGACCTATTTTGCATGGACTATGCGGAAAGGAGAAATTAGACAACAAAATATGTAAATTTTTTGTAATTATTCATAACTTTTGAGCAGACATGGATCCAGAAAAATTTGAAGAATAAAAAAAATAATGTGGCGACCGGATCCATTCCTGTGCATTTAATTGTGCCTATTTCGTACGTTTGGTTGTTTTTTTTTAAATAATTACCTATCAATATCGAATATCCTTGGTAAGACTTTTGAATATAACATATTGCTGTAGCATAATTATTTTTCGACGTTTTTTTGGCAACATAACTTATCTAGGACTAATCGCTATCTTTTCTTTAAATCGCTTATCTATGTCGTGGAATTAATTAAAATTCTATAATTAAGCCTAACGCTAGTTTATGAATATAATTCAACATGAAGACTATACTTTTTCAATAATTATTAACAATTGATATTAAGCATATTATTTTATGAGTATTATTCCCTTTGTGTATTCTAGTTTAACGTGAGTAAAATGAAAATGACAAAGTACGATGTGTCATTAACACTAACACTGGCTAAAAAGCTGCGAGTCGTACATAAAAAATGATATACAAAATTACTCCCTTGCTGCGGCTAACGTCCGATCTAGAAAAAAGGGTTACATGAGCAATTTCGATGAGCTTTAAAAAGTTGAAAACGCACAACCAGAAAGGCTAGCATCCCATTTTGTTTCCCAAAATTTATTGTCTCGCCAAACAAAGATGTCTTGTTTGTGCGTTTTTACTTTGTCGAATGGAAAATGAAAATTGGCCACCTACTCAACCGCGTTCATCACATTCATTTGTAAAGATAATAATAATAATACTAAAGGTGTGTTAGTACGTTTTTATAAATTAAATTAATACTAAAAGGGCGGATGAGTAGGCACCGTTACATACTTGAAATGGAGTTTCAAAATCTAGTTAATCACTATTTACTAATAACAGTAACATTCAATGAAATACTTGAAGGGCGGCGATGAGCACAGTTATAACAAAAATTGGTACTAGTGGTGTGGTACTTGTGTTGCAGTAGTCGGTTTGGCATGCGCAGACCTCTTGACGTCCACCAAATCCAGAGCGCTGGTAGCATTGATTTGTATGACTTTTATTGTAATAGCCACAACTTCTTATGACTCTCGTTTCCGCTTTGACTGAAAAGTAAACCAGATTTCATTATTTCAATTTTACTTGCACATATAGCGTTAGCATTTATTTTACTATACTTCTCAAAATGACAGTTAACACGCTATTTTTGACAATTATAGGAGTTTGGCAATAAAATTCGCGGTCTGTCTTCGGTCGGATTTTGCGGGGGCCAAAATTTCAGGGGCGAATTTACTTGGGGAAAGCATGCAAAGAGGGCTTTTTCAAGGTAGGGTTTTCTTATGGTTGATCCTTTGGGATGGGTTCGAATTTTACGTGGACAAACCTTTTTGGGATGAATTTTTCGAGAAAGAATACTCCTCCTGGGGTTGTATACGGGCAGATTTTCCGGGGGCGAATCTTCGAAGAAGTAACATTCGTTATTCTAAGGATCAATTTACTTTGGCGCGAAGGTGAAGTCGTGTACAAGCTTCCGTTGGATGAATTTCTGTTGGAGGCAGTTTCTGCCGAGATTGTATTCTAGTGGGGACGAGCGCAATGGTGAATTTACTTGTGCCATAGACTGCAAGGGGGGTCTTGTACCTAGCAGAGCAGGTATTTCAAGGGAGAGCTTTCCTAAGGATGGTCGGAACAATTTGAAGCAAATATTTCGAGGGCGAATATTTTAAGGGTATGTGGAGCGAGTGTTTTCAGAAGGGTGATTCTTTGGGGTCAAGGCTTCCTGGTCAAGAATTTTTGTTACTGGCGTGAAAGTAATTTTGGAAATGCACTTTTTAGGGGATAAGTGCCCCGAGGATGAATTATTATCCGTGAGAGGATTCCAAGAAGGCGATTTGCCTGTGGCGAATATTTCGGGGTGGCCCTTCCGGTGGGCGAATTTCAGGTGACCTAGGCGCAAGCATTCTTGAGGGGAACGAGGGGGTCGTCTACATACCAGAGCAGCTATTTTAGAGAAGAGTTTTCCTAATGTTGATCTAGCTTTTTCAGTGTGAATTTTCTTTGGAGCAAATCGTTCAGAGGGGTTCTGGGAATGAATTTCAGGGGCAAGAATGCGCTGATGGTGAATCTTTCAGAAGCGAATTTTACGTGGGGATAAAGGGAGAGTGGGCACGAAGAAGAAGGTATACAAATAGTTATTTCAAGGGAGAGTTTTCCTTTGGAGACTAGCTCTTTCTTGCATGAATTTTATTGGAAGTAATTCTGACGGACACAAATGAATAGCCTGGGGGTTAATAACCCCGATGGATAGGTCTTCCTGGAGATGGGCAAGTACTCCGAATGCACGCCTCAGATAAATTTAGCTGTGGGACAAGTTTTCTAGAGTGTATTTTGTGCGGAAGTCTTTATCGGCTATGTGGCGATGCAGAGAGAGGCAATAGACCGGGAGTTGTGGAGAAGGAATGTCACCTAAGAACCTGCCAACTGGCAGACAACCCAAAAAAATACACAGATGGGAAACTGCTGAACATAGGGAGGTGAATAAATATTTCGAAAGAAAGCCTTTTAGAAGCGAATACGCCCAGAATGAATTTAGCTGAGGGTCTGGTTTTCTTGAGTGTATTTTGTGGCGGAGCCCTTACCTATTCCTTCTGTGATCATTTTGAATCGGATTGTTTAACAGCAAAAACAATGCGTAAAAATCAATCATTTACCTACCTTGTCACTGACTTTAAAAGAATATTGTAAATATCAACACGGGTCAAAATAAGTGCAAAGGGTTAGACATGTTCTTTACTTATACTGAAAGTTACTGAAAATACTTACGCCCGTTAACGTCAAAATCGATAACTTGTTTGATTTTCCTGCATAAAATGTAATTGCTTCCAGGACAGTCAACCTTGTATTTGTCTGGTGGAAAATCGCCCATACAACTACTATCGTCGTGGCTATTGCATATAAAGCAGCTAATCGATGCACCTAAAAGACAAGTAGTTAGTACAATCAGACGAGTTTTCACGGATACATTAATTTTTATTAGTTAACACTATAGATACCCCAGCATGTAGAATGTAGTGCGTAGTAGAGGGTGTAATTGATCAAGGAAAACGATTAGAACTATAGTTTTTAACATCTATTTCCATCAAATACATGCTTTTTTGCCTTTTTTTACTGCCTACGACAAAACTGAAAGCAGCAGCTAAACAAAGCTGCACGTTTGTAATGCCGGTAGAAATTAAGAAAACACAAATTGACCATTTTCTTTCTTCGAATCCAAAGGCCAGAGTGGTCTGAGTCACTCTGTGTAATCATAGGACAGTCGTGAATGTCGACTGAATGACATAAGGCTAAGGCAGTAAAAAAAGTTTTATGGAAGTAATTGCGGGTGCTGTCACATGTTGGGTACGAATAAATAGAGCCAGTGCGAATGGATCAATAGTTGCTTTCACAATAATGCTTGGTTTATCAAAAATGCATCAGCAGCCTTGAAGAGGCTCTAGAGACAGATAGCAGATGCAAAATAAAATCTGCCGAATTGGCCACGTTTTTCCAATTCAACTCGAATTTGGAAAAGGAGGGAATTACTAAAGCTGATTGCGGAAAAGTTGGTCTTTCTTAGTGTAGGTGTATTAATCGGAGGTTTCCACAATATGAAGCTGTCGGCAATGTGCTCCTACAATTAATGGTGACCCCTATTATAATTGAAGTCACAAAAAGACTGCTTTCACCCAGTCCCAAAAGGGCCATAACAACTAACCAACGCATTAGATTCTTTACATTTACTTAATACAGAAAATCCAAAACAGTTTCCGTAATGGAAATTGCTGATAGAAAGGATATTTCCTTGCAGGTATTGATCTCTCACCGAGATTTTCGGGCAAGCGCACTTAGTGTGGACATCATTTCTCCTACATGTCGAAATGAGATCAAAATTTCGTGCCTCAGCTCAGACCAACAAAATTAATTCGTATAACATTAATTAATATCTACATGCCGGAAACTGCTGAGGGGGCGAACAATGATAAATGGTCTGGAATTGGAGTACATTTTTAATTGAAATCGGTACGTCAAGAGCGCATAAGATTGGTTCAAATACCCTAATCCCCCAATAAAAATTAATGCAATTCGCTTACCTTGTTGGATATATAAAATTAACACAAAACCACACGCAATGAGGTACTGGAGGTGACCCATTATTTGAAAAACCTACTAATTTACAATATTTACACTAAAATAGTCTTTAAAGACCGAAATACTCGGACTAACTCCTTGCGAGTGCACAGAGATGTCCTTGCGCAAGGATGTTACTGCGCTGGTGCCGTTTCGTGCCGCCAAGTGTCACTTTCAAATATCATCGTACGAGGTGCCTTCGTTTGCACTGATTAGTGATGAAAACAAAGCTTATTATCGAACTCGTTTTAATGTCCTTCTAGCCAAACGTTAAATCAGGCGTAATTTCAGCGTTTAAGACTACCTAATTGTCTTAAACGGCTGATTTGGTATATCCGTGCCACGATTCATTATACGATTATGTCTTGTTGCATGCGTAGTATAATTTTTAGTAAATTTTAATCTACAATCGGAAATACACGTTGAAATAGAAAATTGTAACGTTTCTATTAATTACAGATAAATCAATTCCTTTCCAACACTTTTCGCTTTTTTGACGATGCGCTAACAAAATCTAGCTCTTTGCCTTTTATTCTGAGAGGATGGGTGAGAGGTTCTTATTAATTATTCAGTCTATAATAAGTCTTCTATGAGACGGTGTTCGTAAATTACATACTGAAGAAAAACTAAGCACCAATAGCCAGTCATCAGAAAAACGAAAAAAAAAGTCAACGTGCTTTATTCCTCAGACACTATGACTCAGATGGATATTGTGGGCGGGATGCTCAGAGCTTCCTGGCCCTCTTACAGGGTTTACAAATTATAAAACAAACTGCCATGGTTTGATACATTAACTAATATAGTACAGGGTGAGTCAACGAGTAACTTAATGTCTTGAAGATAAGATTTTTCGATAGATTGCTTTTGGATTACAATATGGATGAATTTCTCCATATCCTACAGCCTCAGGGTAAAAAACGACTTATAGAAACAATCTTTAGTACTCTCCAGAAGAGTGGTAGATGCAGTGCACTTCTGTTCCTGATGCCTCAACGTGCGAAAATATTTATTTTTGCACAAAAAATAAAGTAGTGCAGTTCCTCCCTCCAATTTCCTACCCTACAAGGTAAGTCATTTGTATTGTCTCCTACTGAATGCCCTCCAAATTCCTCAACTTGAGGATGGGTAGTAGAGGCAAAGTAGGCTGGGACGCAAACTGGACCAAAGAGGCTTTAAGTCCAAAAAAATGCAGCTGTAAGTGAACTTTACCACACACAGAAAACCAGAGTTGGCAACTCTGTTGGTTTAAAAAGCATGGTGCTTCTGCGTATAATGCCTTAATCGTTCGAGAAATCCCATCGGACGAAAATTTGTCCGATAGGTATTTATGCACGATTAGGACGTTGTGCGCGGGTGCACCATCATGTTGAATCAACCACAGCGTGCTGTATATATCATTGAAATCGTAATAAAAAATAATGCTGATGAATACAGTGTGTACTTTTTACGGGCCGTATAAAAAAATTAAGTTGATCATGATTGCTCTGAAACGAAACGTTGTACTGAAAATCTCTCAACGGTGTCTTGCACAGTGCAAAAAGTGGCAATGAGAAAGTGATTTTTATTATTTTGTATCTGTTCAAATAACATCATAAAAAAATTAAAAACCAAAATGGCAAATTTCGGTTTTTCTAGTATATCAGTGGTATGCACCCCTAATCACGTACACGACGCTGGAGGGATTTCATTCCACATTGATAAAACTAGAAGAACCTCTGAGTTGCATTTTTCTGGCAAATTGTCATTTTTCGCCAAATGTTATATATGTATAATAAATAACGGTGTTCCGCATAATTGCACTTTTTCCATACTTTCTCTTTTCATATAATACGCAATGCCGAGCTATACTCATTGCAGACTATCGGAAGCCTTCGATGTCAACGAAACGAGAAAAATCCTTTTCATCAAGAAGAACCGTGAAATATACAGCATCCTCCAACCAGCGACGCCTTAAAGCAGCACGTCCTTCGAGCTGCTTACTCGGATGGTTTCATCCAGGGTATCTCCTTTCGGGTTAGTTACCTATAGGGAATGCAATCCCGCAGCAAAACCTCAATCCCGGTATTTGCGGGATCGTTAGATGTTAATCCCGCGGGATCCCGGTATTTGCGGGATCCCGCATAAGCAATTTTATGCGGTTATAACTTCTGTATTAAAATAAATCGCTAATTATCCCAATATTCAACAAAAAAGTACCTTCAGTCTAACTAAAAAAAATCACCTGTTTAGTGTAAAGCATAAAAAGGTGGACAAATTCCTCAGTCCCGCAAATTCCGCGCCATCCCGCTCCATTTATGTGCGGAATTAATCCCGCAAAAATGCTGCGGGATCCCGGTATTTTGGGATCCCGCGATCCCGGTATTGCATTCCCTACCTATAACTTTTGATTGAGAAGTCTGATCGAAAAAGTACGAATTGATTTGGATTCTACGCACCCAAATTAATAAGGAAAAGTGTTTTCCCAAGAAATTTTGGTGTAGTCGATTTTTGGTAAAAAAAGGAAGGTTATACACTGCCTTTTTTTGAGCCCCGAAAAAAAAATTGTCTCAGATCGACCCGGGAAAAAAATTTTCTTATAGAATGTGGCCTGTAGAATCCATAATTTCAAACAGTTCCAAGATTGGGCTACTAGTTCAGAAGTTACAGCCCTTTGAATTTTCTTTCGAAATTGGTTTCTAGTCTATAACTTTTGATTGAGAAGTCTGTTCGAAAAAGTACGAATTGATTTTGATTCTACGCACCCAAATTAATAAGAAAAAGTGTTTTCCAGAGAATTTTTGGTGTAGTCGATTTTTGGTAAAAAAGGAAGGTTATACACTGCCTTTTTTGAGGCCCCAAAAAAAAATTGTCTCAGATCGACCCGGAAAAAAATTTTCTTATAGAATGTGGCCTGTAGAATCCATAATTTCAAACAGTTCCAAGATTGGGCTACTAGTTCAAGAGTTACAGCCCTTTGAATTTTTTTTCGAAATTGGTTTCTAGTCTATAACTTTTGATTAAAAAGTCTGTTCGAAAAAGTACGAATTGATTTTGATTCTACGCACCCAAATTAATAAGAAAAAGTGTTTTCCCGAGAAATTTTGGTGTAGTCGATTTTTGGTAAAAAAGGAAGGTTATACACTGCCTTTTTTTGAGCCCCGAAAAAAAAATTGTCTCAGATCGACCCGGAAAAAAATTTTCTTATAGAATGTGGCCTGTAGAATCCATAATTTCAAACAGTTCCAAGATTGGGCTACTAGTTCAAAAGTTACAGCCCTTTGAATTTTCTGCCTTTTTTTTTGAGGCCCCAAAAAAAATTGTCTCAGATCGACCAGGAAAAAAAAATTTCTTATAGAATGTGGCCTGTAGAATCCATAATTTCAAACAGTTCCAAGATTGGGCTACTAGTTCAAAATTTACAGCCCCTTGAATGTTCTTTCGAAATTGGTTTCTAGTCTATAACTTTTGATTGAAAGGTCTGATCGAAACAGTACGAATTGTTTTGGATTCTAGCGAGGGTGGTGTGGTTTATTAAAGTGCTACTGCCACTCTCGTGGAAACATAAAACATAAACATGAAAATGAAGTGTTTCATTTATTTATATATTTATTTGTTTAACCAGACGCCATACAGAATAAGAAAATTCCAATTACATGGTACTGAGGCTCTGGACATACAGTAGGCTTATGATCTAATTTGACTAACTATGACATTTAGGGGATCGTGAAAAAAGTCGACCTAGTGATTAAAAGAAAATCCCAGACGCACAGTCAACATTTACCAGGTGTCCAAACTTTTAATCATGTCTACGAAACTAGTGCTTTTCCGTGCTACGAGAATATCGCCATTTAATCCGGAACATATTTCTTGACCATCTATATTTACCTAGTTTAACTACGGACATTGCAGAAAGAGCAGTTTCGCACAAAGAAAATGAACAACTAGAAAATCCTGAGCAGCCCCAAAGAAATAATAAAGAAGCGCAAACACCCTGTGTGGGAATAAATGAACCAGAAACTTCTTGCTCTTGAAAAAACGACGATATTCAAGACATATTACAAAAATTATCACCAATGCCACAAATTGACGTCAGAAAAACCTCCAAACGCAAAACTGTTTCTTACTAAGATGTGTTAACCGAAAGCGTCCAAAGTATTCTTGAAAAAAAAACTCAAAAAGGCCAAGAACAAAAAAGAAAGAAAAACAGAAATATTGTTGATAGGAGGTTAGGAGGGACCTAGGGGATAATAAAAAGGAAAAAGATCAAGAACCTTTGAGAAAAAGTCACAGATATGAGGGAAGTGTTAGGCTAATTCAAGGGCGAATTGAAAGCGAAACGAGCGAAGAAGAAGATCCATACTGACAGTAGTGGGCATATGCCTATTGTGCAGGTATCCCAAGGTAAGGGTCAAATATATGTTCCTGAACTCTACAAGGATTAACTTTGGTATTCTGTTACTGCATTTTTTACATTCATGTTCTTTTTGTGAATTATTTTCGTATGATTCGTATGATTTACCTAACCTAAAAAATATGTTAGGTTCGATCTTAATAAAAACTTTCAAATAAAACTAATTTTATTAAAAGAGGTTGTAAAGAAAATCTTTGGCTATCGACCTATAAATAACATTGAATTAAGAAATTGCCTGAGTAAATAACTACGTAGGTATGTCATTATGCTCGCCTCTCCCCTATACCAGTTACTTAATATTATAAAATCTTAACAATGGCTTTTTAAAATTTTCACTACACGTAATAATACGGACCTCCAAGTTCTACATCCAACCATTGAATAAAAGAGTTGTTTATTCAATGATCCAACGCCAATTTTAAATGTGCAAATATATTGCGCACCTATCTAACAAACAGAAAGTTATCAACAGGGTGGGAAGAAGTCATTACTAACCGCTAGAATCTACTTTCGGCCCTTATGGTAAAGAGAATGTGGATAAATACAACTTCCTCACCCTTTTAGGTACGTACCAATTATGCTACACGTTACACTTACAGGATGATTGTGAATAACAACTTTTTCATGTAAACGTGGGAAAGAGAAAACGTTGGAAATTATTTTCAGTTTCCTACCGTCACCACTAGTGAGAGAAATAAGCAATCCAGACCCATAGTTATGTTATAAACGAATAAGGACATATCAAAGTAATACGTCG